AAATAAAACTAGGTAAATAATTATATTTAAAAGTTTGTTGCATATCAGAATCCAATTATATAATTTCTTGGATAATGAATAGTAATAAAAAAAGACATGGAAGATTGAAAACAATGAAACTGGATAATTTTAAACTCGAATAACTAATTTTAATTTTAAAATTGATCATAGAAATGTTACATTAGACTACTACAGCATTTGTTATTTTTTCACTGATATTCCAGTTTCAAATATAAAATCTTTGAACTCCTCCCATTGCTGCTAAATCAATATGATAAGAAAAATAAAACACTATACTAGTCAATTTAAATATGTTGATTGTGTAATAAAATGTTACGATTCAACACTTGATACACGATTCGTTATTCTCCGTATTACACTACTGTCCAGTACGAGAGCCCAGTCAGGAATGCCCCCATTCGGCACGTCCACTTCATTATATTGAATCCCCACTACTCGATATTGCAAGCCAAACGACTCACTTTTAATAAATAAATTACTCTGTAAAATGACAAACCTCACTATTGTAAAGATGTAATAAATATTTTCACCAATAAAATTAACAATATTTAATAGGTAAGGAAGTCAATTACTCGCACTTTGGTCGCTTTGCGGCTAGCTACATTTGGTCTCTAGGGGGGGGTGGACAACTGCCTATAAGAGTTACAATGATAAGACTTTCAAAAAAAATGGATCATTATGTCTTAATTCTAGTATATAATGTTGTTAGAGAAAAAAACTGTTCTTATCACCTTCACTCACAAACATGTTTGATGTCTAAATGTTACAACAGCAATGAATTAATGTGTTTATTGAAATGGAATTATAGTTTCAATTGCAAAATAGATTTTTTAGATTTTTTTGTAAAAATATCGATATTCTGGCTCCACAAAGTTTAGGTGATCTTTAATGTTATCTTTCTTCTCCATTGATATCGTGCCGTAGTATACGTTACAACCGGACCAAAAAAATTATCTATCAATTTTGGTAAGATAGGTCAAGGATGAAGGTATATACCTACATACATACCACTTTCGTCCATTACACAATTTTGTGTTTTATCATTGAAGTCGATTGTTATGTACCCTCCACTAATAAGTTAAGCGTCGTGCGTACATAGACCTTCCATCCATAATTATTTTTATTGTTTACGCTTATAAGTATAAAATCTGAAGATGCTGAGTTGACATATATATATATATATATATATATATATATATATATATATATATATATATATATATATATATATAACATTCATTCATGACAAAAAACCGAAAATTTAAAAAAGCATTTTTTAATACTTACATAACACTTTCATCTACTCATGTCTTCAATTCTATCTCTGAGGTAGTAGACGGTGGTCACTGGTTCACGTCAATAATTTATGGCTAAATAAAGGAAAAATTAAGTGTTTGAAACTTGTATCACTGAATGTCAAACAGATAAAAACCAATGTGGATATAAAATATCGAAATATGAACCCTGTAGATACCACAGTCGTCTTAGAAATCACACTGGATCCTAAAATTGAATGGGGCCCTCATATTGATAAATTGTCAAAGAGATTTAATTCAGCAGCATATACGGTAATGAAAATACATCAGGTAATGAATCTAGAATCTGCCAGATTAGTCTGCATTAGTTACTTTCATAGTGTAATGTAATACGGTAGTTTGATTTAAATTTGATTTTATGTATAATCTATTATTAAAAATAAATAAAGTTCACTGAATATAATGCTTACATAGAAAATGCTTCAAATAAAGACCTTTTATATATGTCGTAGGTATCATATAACGTCAAAGTACTACTTAAGATTAGCTCTACTAATCGCCGGGAGCATTCGTTCCGTTGCGTGTGCGCATAAAGCTCGCGTGAGAAAGAACAAGCTAATAATTGACAAAGACGCTCCTCATACCGACCGATGTTATCAACAATGTTGCTAAATACATGTGAACATAAATTCTTCCCCTTTCAAATTCAGTTTAATGAAAGTACAAAATCGTAGCTAAGCTTGTACTCGTAGTAGATGATGAAGTATTTACTATAACATCTCAATCCGCTGAAGTAGACGCCATAACGTTATAACTAAAGTCTTTTTTTAACTGCAATACCAATACAGTATTTAACTTTAAATGGGCCGTCGATTCATATCTTAATAATTGTTGAAGCATTAAGGATAAGAAGAAATAAAATTAATGCAGCTATTTGGAAAAACAGAGTCTTAAGAAAGGCAAATTTCTTGAGCAAAACTAGAGCAATTAAAGCGAAGTGCATCACCTTTTATTTAAAACTTATATCAGTAGCCTCAGATATTTAATAAAATGATCAGATACAATGTTGTAAGGATACTGTAATGACTTACGAGAATTATAGTATGCGAGCTACCAATTTACGAAAAAAAGCAAGAAAACCAGACCTCGCTGCAGCATTTAAATGAGAAGCTAAACTTAGCTCCCCATACATAAAGTCGACTGCCAATTACGCCCTAACCGGACATTATCAAAACCGGCTTCTTTAATATGTACGTAATATCTGCCGTAATTGAAACAATTTTCATATCACATATACATTAAAACTTCGCTGTGTAATGAACATAAAGAAGTAGTACTGTTCGATGTATGCGTGGCCAACATGTTTTCAATGTACATATAATATAGGTATTTGTGGTGGAGTTTGTGTATGTGTTAGTGGGCGGCATCCGGACGCACGCCATTCGATTCCCCGAAGAGGAAATCGTTACGGCCGGCAAATTGGGCCCTAACCACTGGTTAGAGGCCGGCTCCGGCACGCAGATGTATTGTTATGTATATATTGGCACCGGTCACATGGACTCGAGTTACTTATAAATAGAATTGATACTTTTTTTCTGATGCATTTATTTGTATGTGCCAGTGTTATTCTGCCGAACGCTAGTTTTATATTAATCTAGCTAGCTATTGATGTTTAGTTGTAAGAGTTATTATTTCAAATACATAATATGACTACAAAAAATCTAGTGGAAGAAAAATAGTAAAAAAAATACTCCTATTTCCACACCTCATCAACGTCGCATTTAAAAATGAATGTATTTGAGATGTTTTCCGGAAACAAAAGTGACAGGTTTACCTACAGGATTATATTTTTTGAAGCATTTAACTGCTAGACGTTTAAATCCAAAGAAAATTCGTAGAATTTTCTTTACCTACAGGATTGCCAATATTTTATTCTCTTATCTTATTTGTAGTAGAAAGTTGGTAGTTGTTGGTGTTTCAGCATAAAAGTCCATTTTTTTCGGGTATTTTGATTGCAATAAATTACCGAAAAAAATGGACTTTTAGTAATATTGCAATGCACAATTTAGTAATATTAAAATATAAAAAAAATACAAAACATAGTGCAACACAGCCACGCTCATATCAATAAAGGTTTAGGAGTGTTAAATTAGGAATATTGTTATTCTATAAGCTGGCGGATTTTTTCAGTGTCTTATGAAATGGGGCCATAAACAAATTCATAAGTAGGCAATGTTCGGGTTTTATGCGTTTTTAAGGGGCTCCCCTACAGGGATCTTCGGTAAAGTGAAACGTGGCGTAAAACCAACATCCTACAGGAGGGTGATATTTGAATAGCTGTGACAAACAAAAGCAGAATAAAAATACACTAAAGACTGTAAACCGGTGTTTTTATTCTTCAAACTTCAATGGTAAATCAAATAGTTAACACTGATTCGAAAATAAAAGGATTTTCTTCCGATTACAAACAATATACCTACTTAATCTTTTCGACTTTAAAGTAATCGATCAATTAAATCATGTAAACTAAGTATGTACTTGTTCTATTTATCCCTCATCTCCCTACGACTCGTACCCACATACAGCGTTAATAACAACAATACAAAATATATACTACTAGTGTAACGTACTAAATTATAAAAGGAAATTACATTCATTGTCCGTCCGCATGCAGGGTGCAGACGGAAAATTTTAATTCAAAACACACAGCGACCCATACGCATTAAACTAGGTTTAACCGCCAGCCGTTCCATTTTCGAAAAATAAAATAAAACAAAAAAAGGCTCGCGTTCTCGCCATTTCTCCCTGCCGCGCCGCAAATTCCAGTGGAAAAAATCGTATTTCGAACGCGGTTTGAATTTTAATTGACATTCAGGCGGCACAGCGGTACCACAGAGTACGTATTCCGCGAACATTTTCGAGTTTACATCTCGTTTAGACGAGGGAATATTCGACGTGCGGTCTAAGGGTGACTCGTCCACCAGTTGCTACATATAAAATTCCTACCGCACATCCACAAACCTCTGTCTACTTAACATAAATATGTTCTTATCTAGAAAATTGTTGAACAGGGCTAGGTCACACCAAGGCTTATCTTTTTATTAAACCAATATTTCTTACTCACATGATCGAATTCTTCAAATCATACTTTAAGAACATGATCAAGTACCAACAACATTAGCAATATTTACTGACAGTCATTTCTCCACTATTTGTTTGAAGACCTTGTGACAATGATTATAACTTTACTAAGCTGTTGTCAGTCACGTAGTACACACGATGATGCCCTCAAAATATAATTAACAATTTCAACGTTCATTACTCGTGGATTCATCATGACGTTAACCAGGAAAATTATTCGGCTCAAAGCGTGATAATGTCAAACATTCATTCGTAATTGCAAAATAAATGACAGACAACAACCTCATCTAAAAGCTTTTAATACATTTCATTCATTTTTACTTAATTTTTAACGCATACCAGATGGTGTCAAAATTAAAGAACGCAAGGAATACTTACATTTCCCAAATCCCTAATACATTAACAGATAATAATGTATTATTTTCTGTTTCAGACACGATGCTCTTCTATCGGATCAAAATGGAATCATAATAAAGTAAACAAAAAACGTGCAAACAAAGATGTTGACGCATACAGCCAAACGAAAAGCGAAGTCATCCCGTGAATGATCGCGCTGCGCGAAGAGTGCGCACACTGGCAGCGATGCAAGAGATATGCAACACCGCCGCGCTGCCGCTCGACAGTAACCCACTGGTGCGCAAAATAAAATGCGAAGAGTTCCCCGCCGTGAGAGGGAAGCAAGTCGCGAGAGTTGGCATGGGGGTGCGTGATGAGATGGAAGAGGAGTTCGCCGTGAAGACGCGGAACACTCCGCCGATGGGGCCAGCGCCGGGTACCGAGCACCCGCGGATGGAGCACGGCAATGGATTCTGGCTGGCGGCTGTCACCGCCGCTGGGGCACCGCATCCGATGCTGGAAACGTGTACCGAAACGGGATTCATCAACAGCCAGCCTTCCATGGCGGAGTTCATGACGGCGCTGCCGCAATTGGGAGCTGGTGAACTCAGCCCGCAGCACACCCCGCCCGGCTACGCGCCCGACCTACCTTCCCCCGGAGGCGGACTTAACGTGCCCGAATACCCTTGGATGAAGGAGAAAAAAACTACTCGAAAAAGCAGCCAACAAGGTAAGCCCGTTATTTAAATACAAGTAGTAGAAATAATAAAAGCCAAAAATATAACAGTTCCAATCACGGTTCATAACTCTTATCACCGTTCATAATCTTGAAGCGGTCGCCGATCAAAAGCAACCTTTTCCAAAGAACACAAAATTTCTTTTCATAAGTGCTCCTAACTGCCGCGTGAATAACTACTCCGGAATTATTATTGTGCCTTTCAACGACGGCAACAAATGGCCATTCAACCATTGTGTTCTGGTTCACGGTCCCAGAGTTTCTCTAATGAACATCAAATTACGCCGAAATATATTGAATTGTATGGCGCGACGACGTTTTGTGTCTGTAACTGTTGTTGCTGTGGGAGTGGTGCGACTGCGAGCCACTGACCCGCCTACAGCGCGTGTAACGGAACGAAACACCCGACATGCACTGTAACCACAAATTATAAGTGAGAACATTTTAGAACTTCATTTTAGACGCTGACAAGTAAAGTGGAAATCTTGTTTCGTCCACGATTCCACTGGAGCAAATGTAAATTATACCCCTGACATCCACATAAATAATACCTATTTTATGAGTACAAAAAGAATTTACTCACAAACTCACAATGTAATAGATTTCCCACAAAACATGGCCATAATATTTTTATCAATAAAATACAGCTCTATTTTTTCGCACAATCAGCAACGGCGTACGGACTAAAAAAGATAAGATGACCCCAAATTTGTCGCCGGAACAAAACAGAGAACAAAACGGTGCGATGATCCATCATCATCCGTCGGCTGGGCCTGGGAACGGGACCTCACCTGGCGCCAATACATCATGGATGCAACAAATTACATCACATCTCGGCCCATTCCTTTCCAATCCTCGTGAATAATTGATAATCAAACTAGGGTGAACTAATAATAAATTTATTAAAAAATAGTAGAGAAATAGCTTGACCACTGATTTTCATAATTAAATCCACAATCAGTTTGGAGTACCTTTGTTTCACTACGTGCTGTTTATACAATCAATCAACCATACTTCTTAACTGTAATCATAAAAAGAGGACACGAATCTTTTCACGCGTAATTTGTTAATATAAACTGCTAGTTAAGTGATGGCACTTTCTCTGCTTGTCGTCATTTTGTTGGACACCCCTGGATCGCAGCGGGGGGCGCCTCTGTACTACGCGCTTTGACCGCATTCAAGTTTGGAATTAATATCTTTGATATCCATGAACTTGGCGATGTTTAAAGAAGGTTTCACTTTCGCCCAAATTTCAGAGAAAATCTTTTATTAAATAAAATCATAGCTATAAAATCATAACCCAAACCGTCTCTTTTCTTTATTGATTTTTGTTATAAAATAAGTTGTTTCTTCGCATTTTAAAGCGGATTTGAAATAACGAAGTTAGAGTCTTGTTTAAATAAACAATGGAATTAATTGACCAGCTCAGCTTGTGATGTAGCGATAAACCACATTGCTGATTTAGTTCTGACTCTCAGTTAAAGTTGTTACAAACTTTAACCAATTCACTACCACTAACCGAGTTCGTAAACATATGAATTTATTCTTAACCATATTCGTAAAATACAAGATTAGGTAACGCAGGTGCTGCTGGTAATATAAAGGCATTGCAACTAACATGCGATCCCACAAAACAAAGGAAAAAGCTCGCAAAAACCGTACCACAGAACTGCTCCAGGATAAAAGTATCGATTATAGCAGCAGCGTTCCCGTGTATGAATCAGTGTATTTTGATCGGGCTGATGATACTAGTGTAGGTTAGCGCGGGGCCCGGCCGTGAACCGGGGTAATCCGTCACTGTCACCGCTATCGAGCGATGCACGCCCGCCGCTGCCGCCGCCGCCGCCCGCTGCCAGGGCTGCAACATAACAATATTTTGCTGGGATATGGCTGTATGCACAGACGCAAAGACAAGTTTTAAATAGAAGGAAATTGTGACGAACTTAGCCCACAAGACAAGCCCCCATATTAACACAAGCCCCCATATTAATAAACAAAGACTAAGCTTGGATTAGTTACTCTATGTTTTACTCTGTTCATTGAATGACAAATGGCACTTGAGTGATATGAACAAAACACGGCGCAACTAGTAAAAGCTTATTCCTAGTTTATTAATAAGGGGGAAGCAGTATAAGAAATTGATTACTAAGTTTGAACTATCAAATTCTAAACAGTAAACACAGCAGTTTAAATAAAAACTAGCCAAGCGCGAGTCTGGCCTCCCTCTGATAGGGTTCCGTAAATCATTTGTTTGTTTTTTGTCACAACTTTCGAAGTACATTCTGAATCGGCACTTGCAGTATTTACTAAAATAAAGCATATGGTACATCATATACCAAAATTTCACTAGCTTTAATTTTGAAGTAGCCCCCCTAACAAAAATTGTTTAAAATTACAACTTTGACGGCCCGCCATTTTTTTGTTACTGAAAATAAATGAGACAGGTAAAATAAATGACCATGTAAGGGTCCCGCGAAATATTTATTTATGGTATAAGTACGGTAAGTAGCTCATTATAAACGAGTAGACGAATGTAAGCCCGAGACGAAGGCTTACCAGAGTCACGAGTTTATTAATACCAATCCGCACGAATGTTATATTAAAGTTTTTCAAACACATTTGCGAGAAAACAGTACCTATTCCTTAAGTAATGAAGCAAATTGAATTACATGGCGCGTTTTTGCAAATGGCACCACGTGCGGGTAGTCATAGTTATAACTACATCTATCATCCCTTTTTTCACAGCAAAGGTATAACTTAAAAGCGCTTCCAAGGAGGTTCGATCGTAATAAAAAAAAGTAAAGGATACGCACGGTGTCATATAGGGGAGCGTGCGGTAAAACGTTTTACCGCCCGTATTGCCCGTAATGTTGAATTTTCAAACAATTTGTACAATCTCCGTAAATGCATTTTTTGAACAAATGAGTTGAAAAATAATTTAATTAAATTTTTAACTAAATATTCGGCTTTCACTAGACCAGCATTTTTGAGACTGAATTCCTAAATAATCTAGGGACCGCTGAAAAACGGACAGACAGACTGTTTTCCCTTTGGGTACGAGACCCTAAAAAATTATGATGAACTACTTACTAGATATAAGTAGTAAGAGAAATTAAGGGGTAAATTTGAACTATTAAATTCTGGGTAGAAAGAAATTACTGACATAATAATACTTTATTTGTAAATTCATCTATTCGAATTATTTGATTAAAAAATGAAGAATTAAGAATTTGAAAAAATCGTAACAACACTTCCCCGAATGACGTTAAATTTTAAAACACTCTGAATACAAAAAATAAAGTGTCACATACTTCACTTCAAATATCTCTGAAACTACATAAGCTAGCATATTTTGAATTAAAAATATCTGAAAAAAAAATTGCTTATGAGCAATTTTTTAAATAAACCACAATACGATTCAAAGTAACCATTTATTAATTTGAAAAATTGCGATCCTTTATTTTTACTGGCAAGTTTATACATGCCATTTTGGTTAAAAATTTTAGTATTGTTCACAATTTCACAACGAATTCAAAATAGTATCATCATCATCATTACAGTGTCAACCCTAGTCAGATGGCGCTCTGTGCAACTCGGCGCACCGATTCTGGCCGCTCTAAACTTAGATATTGGATTCAGCAAGTTTTGACTGATTTCCTTAAGTGACAACCCAACGGATATTTTGATATTTCCTCTCCTAAGATTTCCGGTTCTTGTCTTATCAGACTGATTAACAATTAACATGTTTTTTTTTTAAAAAAACGGCAACTTTAAATTTTGACTTCAACAAAATTGATCAGATCATGCTAGTACTGCACAAGTACTTTTATATATGTATTGAAGTTTAATTATTTTACGTATTTTAACAGAAACCCGCCGGAATGGGGTCAAAATGAGTCTTTTTATCACACTAATATTATAAAGGTGAAAGTTTATGGTTGTGTATGTTTGTTACTTCTTTACGTCTAAACGACTGGAGCAATTTTAATGAAATGTATGGAGTTAGCTGACACCATGTATTAACACATAGGCTACGTTTTACTTGTACAATGTACAATTTAAAAAAAAGCTATGAAGTTATGATAGTGACGTATAAAGTAAACCCTACAAAATAATGTACTAACAATACTTCATTCTATAAGGATTTTGTTTGCCTATAAATCCACTACCACTTTTTTTCTGGGGACACAGTTCGTTATGGCCAAGCTGTATCGTTCCACACATGAGTTTCTACTTTTATCCAGTATATTAAAACTAGTGTTAAAAAATAGACAATACGAAAACAGGAGCCAAATTTTATTTAATACAAAAGCTTGGGATAATAGAGCGCGCATTTGCACCGTAAAGCACAATTTTATTCCGTCGGCTAGAGCGTCTAGAGACGCATGAGGGACTCGCAACAAATCGTCCAGGACCACGCCTCCAGGCTATCTCGAGATCGAAATTAAAACGAACGCCCTAACATGATCGATCATTCCAATTCTTTAATACAATCTCGTATTATTTTCGCACTGTCTCAATTTGCCCGCTCTACGTGCGACGATCAATTTATGAACTCTTTTGTTGGACAGCTCTTCCTGACAATGCTTCATTTAAATTATGAGAGAGTAAAGCAGACGGCGTTTGCGATTTTAATAACGGTTGTCCACGTATGTGTATGTTATTACAAAAAAATATTGATGCTTTTGGACCAACGTTCACGCAACATTAAATTAATTCAAATTGGTAGGAATATTCACTACATCTCAAGGTACTTCGGAAAACGTGTTTCAGTCTGTCTTGTTGTATCTCTTTCTTAACGGTCAAGTTTAAAAAATATAGTATATGCTCAGTAATTAGGTATACTTCGATCATAATTGATCTAATTATGAATCGTTACAGTAACTTAATTAATTCGAAATTTCTTTGAATCAAAGAAAGTTACGAAAAATTCTAAACATCTCAATTTTGCCATGAACAACTAGGAATACCTCTCTGATTTGCTAAAGATATATTTATCTTACAGCTCTCTTTGAAAGTAATCAGTCTCATCCTAGTGATGCCTATTGTTAGACAAGTCCACATATCAAACAACACATCCCAATTTCCCTTAGATACAACTTGAAGAATATAAGTTCTATATTTTTCTTGAGGTCCTAGTTCGTTTTGGAAATATATGTATTGGTACTGAAAAACTTTCATAGGTCACGTAGGAAAAGAATAGCGTGCAAGCTTCCTGTGACAAGACAACTGAAATATTCACCATTATACCAACCCATTACTCATAACGATGATGGTACTGTAGTTCATTATTCGCGTCTCATATTGTATAACTTATTTATATTTAGAACAAACTTTTGAACCACATTATACTTATTGCAAAATATCAGGGTTGCACAACTTTTATTACAAAAATATATGAAAGTCATTGCCACAACCAG